GGCGCGTCGACACGCCAAAACACAGCTCCAGATTATCACGCGTAGTATTACTATATATACACGACCAATCAAAAACGTGGAACTGCTTCGAGGGCCCTCCGCTAAGGTGGCGCGCCGGAACCAGAGAAAAATTGCCTTCACCAAAAACAGGCTCATTGGCAATCTCCCTACTCATCTCTGATGAGTAGTGAGAACCTCCGCCCGCCAAGCTACGCGTTCGTGTTCACGTTTAGCTCGGCTACGACGGGATATGCTTTGTCGACGGAGGCGATGATCTCAAAATCCTACTTCTAGATTCGCCGCTACGATTTAGCGCCATGATTTTGGTATTGCCTAAAACCATAGCGTTGTGCATTTCCCTACTTATTTCTGATCAGATATAAGAAATTATAGAGAATCTTTGCCTAAAATGAACCCTCGAATACTTCAATTGTTGGTGTTTAACGTAAAAACTGGGAGACGAGAATTTCATATTACAAAATGCTTGTCACGTTTTTTTGAGAAGGATCCGAAAGGTGGATATCCTAAAGTATATGATCGTCTGGAAAAATCAGACACTTCTACATTGGGAAAAATTCGTACTGGTTATCAACAAATAGTTGAAGAATTTAGTCTTCTCAAGGATGAAATAAAAGAGCTGTCTTTCATGGACCCAACGATAGGACTTAAAGAGTATGCAGTTGATGTCAAATGGAAGTTTCATGACAATCCAAAAGCACTTAAAGAATGGGTGATAACTTGTGACAGTGATTACAACGCTGGATTTTCTACAGTTAGGTATATTTTTTATAAAATTTTTCATAAATACTATGCTCAAGTTGTAATTAAATCAGTTTAGAGCTGTCGCCAGGGGGTAAAGGTCTTTTCACTGGATATTTGGATACAAAGCTTCCAAAAGATGGAAAGTTGAAACGAACAGGATACTGCAATATGAAGTCATTACCACCACGAAAAGCATTTCAACGGGAAGAGCCATTTGATTGGGGAATGTATACTCATATAGTATTAAAAGTACGTGGTGATGGACGCTCATACATGTTAGGTATTACTACAAAAGTTTCATATGACCTCATGTGGCATGATGTATATATGTTTCCAATGTATACTCGAGGAGGTCCTTATTGGCAATATGTAAGGATACCATTTTCAAAATTTTTTATGTCAAGTAAAGGGAGAATACAGGATAAGCAAGCTTCAATACCATTACATGAAGTAAGAACATTTGGAATCACAATTGCAGATGCAATTCCAGGTTCATATAGATTAGAGATTGATTACATAGGGCTACAATATGATCCATCTCATGAAGAGGAATTTGCATATGAGTCGTATCGAGTTGATCCATTTATTCTAGTCTAAGATTCAACTTAAAAAAAAGTGTATCAAAAATTATGTAAATAAATACTACTGAGCTTTAAAAAAAGCTGGTTATTACCCTGTCAAGTAAAAAAGATCCATCCTGAATATTATAATGCAAGCAATAATCAGACAACACAGATCCTGCATATCATTCAATCTCATAAATAAATTTGCATATCTGTTGTAAACAGGAAAAGTAGTGTACTTTTATTTTGCAAGAATAATAACACAATATCCGAACTACGGTCACGATGTAATTTTCTTTTTTGTGAGAAATTTATAGGTATCTTTTGATATTAGGTAACTAATTCCCCCAGCAAGTGTTGTAAACGCTGTAAGGTAGCACAATCCTTGCAATAATGGATGATCTACAAAGTGAAATACTGGAGCAGCTAATGTACTAGCTACTAGAGACAGCTGTACGCCAGTATTTAACTTGCTGGTAAATGTTGGTGCCAGTTGCACTGTTGCATGTGTTGGATCAAAATACCTTGCTAACGTTTTCTGCAAATGAATTTGTTATTGACATCTCATTGAAAAATGTTCCATCTAATATATTATGCTTACAGGTGGTGGTAAGGAGCGGTACCTCACATAAGAGGCACCAATGACCAGAGCCACATCTCGTACAATAACAAGGCACGTGAGTGGAACAGGTATCAAGCCTACCCAGGCCAAAGAGAGAAATAAGGTCCCAACTAGCAATTTGTCTGCCACTGGATCTAAAAAACTACCAAGCTTCGAGGCTTGGGATGTCCAAGTACGAGCAATCCATCCATCAGCTAAATCACTAACTCCAGCAAAACCCAGGAGACAGAGCGCCACCTATTTTACAGTTCAGCCATCATCTTCCTGATATAAAAAGAGTATGATTCGAGTGCAAACTATGCTATAAAGCAAATTGTTTTAGTTCATTTAATGATATATTCCATAGATTAAAGAAAAAACTTCAGTATCTCATGAAAATGTTTCTTACAGTATAATCTTGTGAGACTATTAAGTAACTCAGATATGGAGAAGTGACTATGCGCCCCATACAGAGAAAATTTGGTACAGTCCATATGTTTTCCCTTTCGATAATTTCTTCTACTTTTTCTTTCGTTTGACGTATATCACGCATCAATCTTGTTCGCAGTGGTTTCTTTTTTTGTGCTTGATTGTCCCCATCGATGGAACCATTATTATGATCTTCGCCACTCCTGTAGTAGAGCCTTGGCTTCCACTGGTTTAAACACTTTTCCAATAGACATCTGTCTAAGGCTTTTGATCGGCCCAGCCGCGTTAACAAGTAGCAACTCATAATTATTTCTATCTAGCCCCTTAAATATACCAAAAATATGCAACAATAAAATATATAATTATATCTGCTCAAAGTCAACGTGGGGTTAGATAAGACTTACGATATTTATGATGTAGGACTCGTATCACAATAGTCACCTATGAAATTTATTAGATTCAAGCATAACGCTATTATCTTCGTAATGGAATTACTCCATAATTCATTCAAAGGAATTCACCAAAAATTTAACTACTATTTTAAGTTTTACATGACAGACAGGTTAAGAAGGACTAACCAACCACGTGTAAGGTTTAAAAAGACTACACGAACGTTCAGCCAATCTTGTCTAAGCCCGTATGCGTAAATTTAGTGGCACGTAAGATATGTATGTATAAATATACCTATAATGTCGGTTACACAGATATCTTTCTAATGTTATTCTTGATTTGCGGCTTCTAGAGGGCAGTGGTGTAGAGCAAATGCTAGAAATTAGTCTGCTCACATTCTTAAAGCTTATAACTACTTATGACCGGTCTGTCTTTTTAAAACTATAAGGATACATGGACTGAATGAGACTGATAATTCCGCGTTTGGTGTAGTTGATAAGTGTCATACAAGTAAAGCGCCACGTTTATATTTGACTTTAAACCCGTCGAAAAACAACGGTCGTTTGTATTTGAATGATAAGGAACAATGGCATCTTCAGCAGGTGACAGAAAGCCTGGAGTTATAGTTTTGGGAGGTAAAATACTTTTGACCACTTTGTTACTATTAATGAATCGAAAATGAATTAAGTACAGCCAACAATTGATATTTTTTATGCAGGATGTGGTTTCATTGGGCGTAACCTAGTCCAATACCTGCTAGAAAACGAATTAGTTTCTACAGTTAGAGTTGTTGATAAGGTTCCACCACAAACAGCTTGGCTAAATGCTAAGCACCAGCAAATATTTGAACATCCGCTTCTAGAATTCAGAAGTGCTAATCTTATCAATCCAGGTATCTTTTGATAATTTGCATTGGTACTTTAACTAATCTTCATGATGGTAAACAAATCTTTTCTTTGCTTCAAACTATAGTCTCGTGTCAGAATGCATTTGCATCAGATACTTCTATAGATTATGTATTCAATTGTGCTGGTGAAACAAAAAGTGGACAAACAGATCCTGTTTATAAGGAAGGCATTTACAAGCTTAGTATAAATTGTGCCCAGCATGCAGCAAAGCTTGGAGTAAAAAGATATGTTGAAATTTCTTCAGGCAATCTGAACTCTTCAGAGAAGGTAAGATTTAACAAATTTATTCCACATTCATAACATTTACATATTTTGCTATTCTTTGCATGTATTCACTTAAAGTACAATGAATACATCAACAGCAAATATTGCAATATTTCATAATATATATAATTTGTTCTAACAAAAATTGCTTGACAGGCTCCACATAAGGAAGATGACACTGTAGATCCATGGACATATGTGGCAAAATATAAAATGCAAGTTGAACATTATTTAAAGAATATTCCTGGATTGAAATATACTGTACTAAGACCAGCAATTGTATATGGTCCTGGTGATAGAAACGGTTTAGGTAGGTAATATACTTCACATTATCAATCCTACATGTTTCTCACCTTCAATAATTACATTAATAATTTATAAATTGCACTTTCTTCGCAAAGCATTCAATAATTTCTCAAACATCCATGATTGTAACAATGGATAACAAATAAGGAATGATCAAAATATTAGATTTGCCTTGAATTATTGTTTTAATATAATTAGTAATAGAAGTAATTAAGGAAATTTACAGCACCTCGTTTAGTAGTGGGTGCAGTATACAAACATATAGGTGAAATGATGAAGTTGCTTTGGGGACCAGACCTTCACATGAATACTGTCCACGTGAGGGATGTAGCACGCGCGATCTGGCATGTAGCAATCAGATCAGAAACAGAAGGCAAAATTTACAACCTCGTTGACGAGGGCGATTCTACACAAGGAACAATTAGCGCCATTGTTTCAGAATTATTTAACATCAACCATGACTATTGGGGCACTGCTCTATCAACTTTAGCAAAAGTATATAAAAATAAAAATGGGTATTTCAATTCCGGCCTAGGCAAAATTATGATCTATTGTACTTTTCCAGGCGGACATGAGCTCTGTGGTAGAGGAAGTGAATGATAAACACATGGGACCTTGGGCGGAAGCATGCAGTAAAGATGGCGTTGAAAACAGTCCATTATCCCCTTATATAGATCAAGAACTGCTTTACAACAAACACCTGTATTTACAAACAGGAAAATTAACAAATGAGACTGGATTTACCTATTGTTATCCCAAATTGACCAAGGACGCTTTAAAAGAGGTAAGTAGTGTAGATGATAATACTTTATCATCCATAAAATACAAAATTTGAAAACAATAACTGTTTTTTATTTTAGGTTCTTGATGATTGCGTCTCTATGAAGATATTCCCGCATTCCTTAGTTCTGTGATCACTATGTTGAATAATCATACAGATTCAACACTTGAATCAACGTCGCGCTAAAGCTTCATAGAATTTATCGAATATAACAACTTTTACAGAAACGTTCCACGTTGTGCCTAAAAGAATTCACGTAGGTTCAATGCGCGTTACACGTCAAACATGTTGCGCGTCGGCTGATTTAAAATTGATATTATGATGGCTTATGAGCAAAAAAATATAAAAAAAAACAAATGACGCAAACGGAGATATTAGATTAAAAATTATAGAGGTCTGAACTGCCATATGTGATAAAAGAAGCAATGTATGTACTTAATTTTACTCTAACTTAGGTTTTCATAACAATTCGACACGTGAGACAATGGACAGCGCTAGTCAATCATGACTCTGCGCAAGGGTCAAGCGAATCAATTAAATATAAAATCCCGCGTCTCGGATTAACATTTTTCTAAAAAATGTCGCAACAACGCCACCTGCGATGGCGTCGACATTTTAAATGGATACTTACAGTTATGGAGCGTAGAAAAATTTCATCGTAATCATCGTAAGGAAACTTTTTCTTTTTTTACACGTGAATTTGGATGAACAGTGCCAAAAGAAGTCGACACTGATAGACACATGCAACGCCTGAACGAATGCCACTGCAAATTTATATAGAAATAATACTACTTTTTATTTATCTTCACCGCGAGGAAATGGTAGAAAATTGATTATTTCATAAACCTTGATCACTTGTCGATATCTGCTTTAAGACAATGGTTACATTTCGCGTCGATAATCAATTATACTCACGACGCGGAAACCGACTATATTCCAGTGCCTGTACAGGTATAAAATTATATATATATTATTAGGTCGAGTACAAAAATAGTATATATTGTAATTAAGAGTGAATTACGCGAGTAATGTCTTCTGCGATACGCGAAATTTGTTGTTTTGTATGCATACAATTTGTGCACACGTCTTATTCTCATGCTTACGATTGTAACGCCTATGAAACAAGCCTAATAGCTGTAAAAGATCAAACGGACATGATACATTGTAGTACTTAATGAGTTTGCAGCATATGTCATTATCGTTTAGCAATTGAATGGCGAATCGATTCTTAATTTACTTACTTACGGTGTGTATCTGCTGATTTGTCACGATAATAAACTAAACCCATCAATACCGACTGCTTTTAGTTGACACGGGCAATCCGTAGTAAAGAATAAGACCAAGAAGAAAAATTTGAGTGCCTTTCTAAAACCATAAGCAGGTGGGCCCTTTGAATTAATCTGTTTAACAAAACACTTGGCAATTCAAAGTTGCGAACGTGGTCACAAAAAATTCGTACATAGTCGTGTCCTCGCGCGCATCTTACATAAAAAGGAGGTTCGTAAATGGAAACAACGATACGCTGCTCTTATTTTATTAAACCGTCGGTACAACAATATGTTGCGTTCAGAAAGGTCAACAATATCATTAAACATCTCGTGTATCGCTTTAATTTGAATACCCTTTAAAACAATAAGGTTACAATTTCATCGTAATTAATTATATATAATATATTAAAATATATACTTTTAATATTCTCAAGTTGGTAATATAATCGTATGTACAATCGTGGGTAAAGGTATGTACAAAGTAACTGCACCTTAAAGAATGTAATCATCGTGAAATACAATATTCAACTAGGCGTATACGGTAAATAATAATTATGATTTCTGGAAAGACAGTGTGTGAGAAAGATAGAGAGAAAAAGAAATAAATTATTATGTAGACGCTGTTCGGTTGTTCAGTAAGAGTCGCTACACGATTATCAACGATAATAATAATTAATACAGATTTAATTGAATAAAATTACCGGGTTCTTCGCGCGTTAGTCGTTCATCTACAGTAAAAGTGAATAAAGCGAATAAATGTTACCATACATTTCAAGAAAAAGAGGAAAAAAAACGTCTCATTTACGCATAATCGCCGGCGTGAAACTATTATCTTGTGAGGTATGTGAAAAAAAAATAATAAAATAAAAACGGTATAAAAATCTAAAACGATAGTCGCTAGTAGGTACTGAGGTTAAGTTAACGTTAAGTAATGTTAAGGTCGCTCTACGGAGAGCGACTCCTGTTGGAGGTATATTCGTTAGACTAGAGTCGCCGTACGTGTAAGAATTTCTTTTCCTTTTCTTTTGTTGTTCTTATTACTTCTGCTACGAATTGTGTGAAGGTCTATTATGTTCGGCACTGTATCGGCAATTAGGGAAAGAGACGGTGGGCGGGAAGTTTGAGGATACATTCTACATATCCTACGTGGTCCATCTATCAATGGCTAAAGTAACTATTACTTTTCGTTCCGTGACACTTTTGCTTGGATAAAACTCGAACTTCTTTGACTTCGATTACACACACACACATACATATATATATCTCTAAAAAAAAAACCGTTTCACATGCGTCTTCTATGTGCGCCGCACATAGCATCGTCAATATTATTAATAATAACGGCTTCTACGATAAACAATTCAAATTATATAAAACAACGTCGAGGTGCCAGCAAAGAAAAAGAAAATCACTATTATTCATGATCGGTAAATAAAAAAAATTAATCGTGACGTAACAGTAAAAAATCACAATCCCGTGAATTTTTAAGTAGCGTACACATTTGCAACAGAACCCCGTAATATCGTCGTCTAAGGTAACTGTGCGATCGTACTCTTCAAGTACTCATAGAGTTACGTTACACGAACGTGTTACGGGGGTTCTGTTGCAAGTGTAAACACGGCTTTACCTTCACGCACTATACTTCGCAAGACAATACGTCATCGAGCAATAAATACTATATAATTGATACGATACAGCGGATAATCGATGTCAAAATAGATTGAAGTTTAAAGACCTTACAAAGTGACATGACAACAAATTGATCGATATCGATTAATCGACTATGATTTAACTTATCGATTGATAAAGCAATAATAAAAGTAATACGGAGCGTCCTCATTAAAGATTCGCAATTGACGGTAATAATAATAATAATAATAATAATAATAATAAACAGCAGTTTCCGCGATGCACACAGAATAAAACTACTGTTGACGAAACTCTTATAAATAATTATTACAATAATTCATTAATAATAAAACAAATTATTCTCCAAGCAATAGTCGTGCTCGCGAATGCCACCCGACATGTTGATGACGTTTATTGCTTTGTACTTGACCGGCGTGGATTTTCGTAATTGAAAAAAAAAAGTTTTGATTAACTTTGAATGTTGAAGAAATGCATCGAGCACGGCGACCCTACCAGTTCGTATCTTTCGGGAGACGCCCGACAAAGAGAAAAAACAGACGAAACCTAATTTCATAATATTACATTACCACGTGCTTCGCGTAAGTGTGTTTAATGATCGTATTAACGGAATCTTTTCTTTTCGCGTAGTCCCACACGTTAGCGTCCTAAGAAGAGTTTTACAGTTTACATTTGTGTTCCCTCTGTGTCCAACGCACATCCTCGTTATACGCAGGAAAGAATTTTCGAAAATTACGCTTCACTGAAAGACGATGTCCCGGTCGACGACGAAGCCGTCAGAGACGGGATAAAATTATGCGGCTAGTATAGTATAAAAAAAAGAGATTAAAATAGTTTTATAAGCGTAATTGGTTTTTTTTTTCATGTCTCTTCTATTACTTTTTCGCTCACTTTACACCGGTATTATATCAAACTGCGGCCACATCTCTCTCATATACCATAGCGATTAATAGAAATGATCATTTTAATCCTGAACTTATATTTATTTAATTATTTATCTTGGATTCTTATTTCTTTTCACTACATTTTAACGGGTTTTTCTCTGCCTTTAATCGGCAGTTTACTGGATCTTGTTAACCGGTCCGAACAGAAACGCATTTAAAAAAATTTTTTGTTATCCAAGTTTTTCTCCTTCATCTTTATACCAAAGGAACAATTTCGCTCATTCGTCATCTATGGATTTTACGAGAATAAAAAAAAGTCTTAAATTCTCTTTTTAATTAGCATCTATATCAAACGTATTTGGAGCATCAATACGTTCGTCATATACGGCCGGTATGCATAGTCAGGATACACGTATTAGAGCTTATTCATGCCCGTATTGCGCATGCGCGGCTTACGCTTCGTTGTTTCTTTCGAAGGACTGAAAAAATTAAGACGCCCTATAGTTCCTCTTTCCAATTTTACGCGTAGCAAATAGAAAATAGTGACAGAGATGCGGATGTAGCGAATATTATACATTGGAGGCACGCTGTACGCGCGACAGATACAGCAAGGAACAGCGAGTTCATTGCCTTCCTAATTTTCGCCGATTTCTTGCAAAAACATTTTTTATCGCCCTCCTTCTTCACTGTTATATTATTATTATTTATTACGACGCACCTGGGTTCATTATATGTTATGTATGCTTAATGCCTTCGAGGTTAGACTGGAAACTGGAATTAACTAGAAGGTACTATACGGTAATTTGTAATATGCAGGGTGTCCGAAAAAGATCGAATGACACTGAACGATTTTAACGATCGTCTCGTTGCACGTAGAAGTTCATTATCCTTTTTTCTTTTTTACTTTATACTTCTTCTTTGTCATGTATTTCAAATGAGCCACAATATAATAATAAGATACGCACTGAAATTCTTTATCAGAATTCAATGAATAATTGAGAGTCGTCGACGAGCGGATACGTGGAGCCAGTTTAATGTATTTTACAATATCCGAAGTACGAAGCTTCTGACAGAAGAAGAGATAAGGAACTTTGTATACGAAATGATGCAACGAGTAACGTCTTTCAATATAATGCGCATCTCATTCGACATCCGGTATATAAGGTGTGTAAAAAATAATATAGCGTAACTGTGTGCTACGCTTTGAGTCTATGGAAGCCAATCGGTGAATGAGTGAACGAATCAATGAATGAACGTGATGAGTACGTTGGAATTTTCGCATTGCAATTATATAACACGTGTATACGTTAAATCTGCACGTCGAACATTTTTATAACAAACAACGAGTTCTTATTCTTTCTTCAAACGGAATGCGTCGAGTTGTCACGTCAATGAGATACTCATTGGCGTATTGGAATTATTCGCGAAGAAAAATATTCGCAGCAGGCTGCCTTGCGTGTACATTTTTTCATTAAACCAGACATGGTCGTAACAACCCCTCTCCCCCCTCGCCCTTCTCTACTTCGTTTCTAGAACCGCAGAATGAAAAAAAACTGTTCAGTCTCATATGTGATCATACACGGCAATCTGTCATTATATAGGAGAAGCAATAACGTTGAAGGTATGAGCAATAGTATAACAGGTGTTTCCAAAAAAAAAAAAAAAAAGACGGAAAATAAAACTTTATCACTAATTTCAATGAAAATATCGTCACTCAAGTAAGAAAAAGTTTGCGATGAATATGAGAATAGTGCATCGCACGGAATATATAAAATTTTACGAAATCTATGATAATGACAATAGTAAAGTAAAAGAGCGGCTCTAGAGCGGAAATAAAAGGGTTGAAATACTTTAACGTGCATGAAATAAAATGGAACGAAAAAAAAAAAAAAGAAACGGATGCTCATCTCGTTCGGCTTCATCGTGTGTTCTGTAACAGCTAGATTATTGCATTTATAGTTCAGTATTGTGTATCTGTAATTCTAGAAAACACATTGTTGTCGAATGTTACGAAGTAATAAATAACAATTATAATGGAGGTACAGTATAACATTGACCTGCCTACGTCTCACTCTAAAACGACATAACTTAGTCTACATCAGGTACTGCGTTGGGTTTTTTCTGTCATGGTAACATGCACCAGTCTGGTGTGGTGTGTGTGTGTTGTGTGTGTTCTACCCCTATTCCCTTCCACCCTCCACAAGGTGTAGCATGTGTATAGTTTGTAGCGTGTATACGGTATAGTGATTTTTTTCTTGTTTAATTAACATAATGTGTGTACTGCGTGTTAGAAAGTGACGTGTCAGATAGCATGTCAGATAATGTTAAAAAAAGTGGTAGTGGTGATTAATGGCGGTTGTGAGTGATCGCTGTATATATAAACGGATCCGATCGATTGTCACGAACGGAAAGCAACGTATTACGTTAAGAAAACTTCGACTTTCGGTTTCGGCTTTTAATTTTTTTTTCTTTTTTTTTTTTGACGCTCTTTTAGACTTTTTCTGACGTTTACTATACTCCTGTTACGAGTGCGTCATATTCTTTGTGCGAAAATATTAGCGTTATGAATATCGAAAGGAATCACACTTACGGTGAAGATCACCAGGTGACACGTTTTGGACTAATGTATCGTTCCACGTCGTTTTTCCGTTTGTGAGAAATCATCGCCGCGACCTTTATCTTACGTTTAATCGTAACTACGGACAATGAATGCAATTATTATTAGGATAAAAATAAAAGGATAACGAAAAATGACACGTAAAACGAAAGGAACAAAAATTTACCGAGAATAATAATCGAATGGAACGACAGAACGTAATAAAACTTCTAACGACCAAATTTTGCAGATCGATTTCACGATCGATTTCGAATATCGGCATTGACAGCGATATATATTGTATATTTTTGATTGTATATATATTTTTTGTATCGCTCGTTAAAAAAAAGTAAAAGACAGAAAGCAACACAGTCTCTCATTGACAACACTTCGAATTCGCGGGAAATCGTTCCGTCAATACGCAGTCTTAACGCGATACATACAATAAAAAAGATTCATTTGTTGAACCGTTAATATTAAATCTAACATAGTAATGCGTGCTAAAACAAAAAAAAATAAAAAAAAAATAAATAAAATTGACAAAGGGTAATAAACCGAAATTGGATTAGTTGTACCACCCCTTAATGAATAGTGTCTCTGATTAAAATGTGTGCTTGTTCCCTTAGTGCTATTAACGAAATTTCTTATTATTCAGTTCGATAAATTGAATCGGTTTACGAGAAGCAATAACAGGAAATGCAACTCGTTTCGGTCATCAAAGAAAGTAACCTCTCGTAGAGACGAAGTGGAGTGGCGCTCGTCTGTCCGAATACTTTTTGATCCTTGTAATAAAAAGGAAAAAGTGTGAAGTAAAAAAAAAAGAAAAAGGAAATGAATATGAAAAGTAAAATTCATGCGGCCACAAGGTACCTGTTAGAAAATCTACTTTTGAACATCTGTCTCATAGTCAGAATATTCTTCTGCTACGAGTCGTAAACATATGGCCCCCTAACAATCAAACTGATGGAGCGGTTCCAAGCAGAGTTCAATGCTCATGAAAGTAGTCAGTATATAATAATTCTTTAAGACATTTAACATTCAGCGGTGTCTTTTGTACTGTAAACCATAAAAATTGGCCCCTCGAACTAGAGCTACTAGTGGGTCAGTACAATATTAATTTTCAATCGCATAACATAACAATCTCACTCCTCCTCGTCTCATTCGTGAATGTCATCCGGAAATAAAAGAAAACAGGGACGTGTTTCTCTTATGGACATATTCACAATTAACGTCTATACTATTATGTACAGCAATATTACGAATTTTCATACTTCAAGAGCGATACGGACACAACTCACTGCACGCACTCACCTATCCCAATCCTTTATCGCATGGCTAGTTTTGTTTTCTCTTTTTTTTTACACATTTCATTTCTCTTCAGATCATCATTTTTTCATTTTCGTCCAGCCCTTAACGACCATTTTCAAACGTGAGCAAGTATTCTAAGAATGATTGTTACGCGTTTATAATGCGCTCATTCGCGAAGCGCTACGCGTAACATTTTAATGTAGCGTTTACGTTGCGCTATAACGTAATGCTGAGTTTTTCTTTTTTAAACGTTTACATTGAACATTGCGGCACGTGAACAAACAGTGTCGCCACCTACGACAGAGTCGCCAAGTTTGAAAACTTGAACACCTACGAGACATCAAGTGTTATGTTTTACATATATGTACATGATCAATGTGCTTGATGTTGAATAGTTGTTCGTTCAGGTATCCGTTTATGAGGACAGGGCGACAGCTAATCATACGCGACAATGAGAAATCATAGATAACCCCATAGTTGCGTGTGCGTCATTACACTTTTTTGTGTACAGACGTACGCACACACTCTTACAATTAATTACATTGATTCGTAGCCGCATCATGGTGGGTATTTCAGAAGTTAATGTAGAAAATTTTCGTCGTCTTACCTGGCACGTCTTACTATTTCGAAATACGTCGACGTTCAATCGTATTGGACAAATCTTATCTCACCCGTTCGGATTCAGCACTGGAACTGACGTGGATGCCGTCTTTCTAGGTGACGACGACAACGAAGTCTCCGTGCATCCTAGGTTATTATTTAGGCTGCTACTGCTACTGTCTAAAGTACAATTGACCATTGTGAGCTGCGTTCCTTCCAGGTCTAGTTCCTGATCCTCTTGATCTGGTTGCTGCTGCTGATTTGATATAGCGCTGGCTCTTCGTTTGTACTGTAATCATAAGCAAGTGTCGAAATTGATACTAAATTTATTGTTTAAAAAAGTATCACGCAATAAAAGTGCCTCAAGGATCTTAATAATATATAAACAATTTCAAGTTATGGAATTGATTAACAAACCTGTGGATTTTCCGTGATACGGACATCCTTACTTTCACCAGTCGCATTCCATGGCGCTAGTAAAGGTTCCTTCGCACACGATTCAAGAACGCCATTAGAGTATCCACCCTTAGGCAAAAATGTTTATGAACAAAATAGAAAACAATTAGATTCACGTTAATTTATAATTCCTTGCTAATATTAATTGATCCTGTCAATACCTTGGTATCTGGACGTGGATCCGTCATGACTGGAGATGAAGGGCATAATACAGCGAGTTCTATTTCATTCCCAGGAGTCGCTGTATTCACGTGTTGACTATTGGAAACGGAAGATCGATCAACGCAACATCCATTTCCGTTTCGCACAAGAACACGTCCCTTGAATGGCTGCACAGTGTCGCCTAACGATCGTGAGTTTTCACACTTTTTACGGCAGTAGATGCTGCATAAGCAAATCACTACGCAACCTATGCTTATGCTCACACCGAGAATCACCCCTAGGTAAAGAAAATAGAATTCAACTTGTTTTAAAATCATGCACAACAGTGAGCGTTACTTTGAATATTTATACTTATTTGGGCAAGTTCAAATTGAATGCATATAATTATTGCTTACCAAGACTTTGATCCGGTTTTGGACTTGGTGGCGGTGTTCGGTTATCAGATGTTGTATGCACTTTGGATGAAGTTCCACCCGTTATAATAAATATTGGATCGGACGATTTGCCGTAACCAGCTTTGGTAGCTGCTTTTACCATAACGAAATAACGCTTTCCTGGAATGAGACCAGGTAAACTCGTGGATGTTTTGTTTCCAGGAACAGTCACGTTGCCCCACGTTAATGACGAGTCAGATAAATTCATTGTGTAGGCGACAGAGTAATTTTTTATCACGCCATTTAATTTTTCCGGTTCTTTCCAAGCAATTCGAACCTTTGATCCGTTTCCCAGAAACCACTGTACTTCCTCCACCTTTCCAGGAACTAATATTGGAGGACAATAGATGGTGTAATACTATGTAAAAATAAAAAACGTCTTTTATGGTATTTACCGTCTTCGTTCGTGTAGCACTCTATGCTCTCGCTAAACTCACTGCCACTGTCGTTTGACTCATTATAAAATATTCGCACTTTAAACTGATAAAGTGTAAAAGGCTTTAAATGGTCAACAGTTATACGTGTTTCGCCACTGCAAAAAACATATTGAATAACATATCATCCACAATAAGTATCTCTACATTTACAAGACTTCCGTACTATCGTTTAACTCACGTAACGAGACAGTTGGATATTTCAGGTTCCGTGGGATGAACAGAATGATAACACAATTCGTATGAATGTACATCAATCACATCAGAAACGGTCCACGTTACGTTTATAGATGTCGGCGAAATCGGTGTTGCCTCCAAACCCGTTGGTATACTCGCTATTTACAATGTAATTAGTCTTAGTTGTGATTATGTAAAATATTAAATTTAGTATGAACTTACTCGTGCTGGACCTTGCGGTGTCCGCATGTTTTCTCAAGCAGCTCTTATCTTCCCCAAAACTTACTGCGCACAACGCCACAATATACGGTTCGTTAATCACTAAAGTACAAAGAAATAAATCACACAATCAATCATAGTTACAGTATTGAATTTTTGTTATCAAATGAGAACTTCAACATTGATAACAGAATTGTACAGCTTACAAAATCATAACTTACAAAGATTATTAATTGTGTACTCCGTCGCGTTTATCGGTAGTAAAACAGTAGCTAACTTTTTGCCGTCTACATTTTCACAGTAAATACGCCACGAATCAAATTTAAATTTATTTTTTTGATGGGTCTCCTCCTTCATTTCCCATTTAACCTGAAAAAGAAAAACAAAAGTTAGAAAAAAAAAAAAACAATAGTTAACAGCAACCGCAATTACCATCTATGCTTATCAAGCTGATAGATTAACTAAATAACTTCATTTCAAACCTTAATGAATGAAGAATTTGTGGTTGTTAATTGAAGATTCACCATATTTGTTATTGTAAACTGATTTGTTTTTGGCAATGGCATCGTTACGCTAGTCCAACTAAGTTCCGATTCGCTAACATTCGGCCAACCCTGCTCTGTCCTGGCCAGTACGCGCAAGTCATATTGCGCTCCTGGTGTTAAGCCTGTAATATAATTAAAATAAAGAAAAGCAAAAATTGAAGAAGCGTCCTTCGGAAATTTAATTATTAATCACTTAATTATATTCATCAAGGAAGGTACCTGTGAGTGTATAGTATTCGGTAGTGGATGGAATGCAAAGCACATGAATTGAAGGATGTTGTTGAAGCTTCCACTGCAGTTTGTACTCAATTACAACGCCTTGTGCCTCCTTCTTAGTGAGGGACCCCCACGAGACGTTCAACTTTGTACTGCTGATCACGTCCAATTTTATCTTTGGAACTGCTTTAGGAACTAAAACAAAAATTTTTTTTAATGTACCTGAAATAACTGTGATACACGTTGTGAATCATTCACACGACGCGTCCGATATACATATAATAATACTAATAATAACATACCACTTGGGGCAGTAGAACACACAATGGTGGCCGACTGGTTGCTGGCTCCATGATTGTTCCATACTCGTATGTAGAAGGAATAATTTGTAAGTGGTTCAAGCGTCTTGGTGACTTCCACGGACGTGGAGTTTCCTGGTTCTGGTGGCGTTACTTCTTCCTTACCGCCTTCTTATTTTTTTTTTTTTTTTTTCATAAGATAAGAAGAAATTCCTCGAATACATTGACGTATACGAAAAGAATGCAACATGATACAGAATCAAGACCAATGAAATTAAATAACAAAGACAAATAATTTACTAAAATTCGAATAATAAGATACGAAAATTTTTATTGAATTAAAGAAATTTAATTTGATAAATTTATTAATGATTTACTAATAATATGTCATGAGTGATTTACGCTTTTACTTCCAAAGTACTTACCCACAGCACTATAATGGACGGTGTACGCTGTAATACTGGTGGGCGGTAAAGACTTGGGATGTTCCCAGGATATAAAGATCCTATATGGGGATAGAGCATGGCACTTCATCGAGGTAGGAGCGGCTGGACTATTACGGGATGTATTCACTTGAAGTCGACCAGCTGCCCAAATCTCACCAGCCGAATTCACGGCAACACATTGATAAATGCCAGAGTCCGACGGCACTGTCGCTGAGATTGCGAGTTCCATTTTGTTATAAACCTTCGAATACGTAGTCCCACGTCCTGAAATACGAGTTTCGTTTATTAATTTAAGAATTAAGTGAAATAAAGTATATTATATTAATAGAATATAGAAGTATTTAGTATTTAGTACCATTTATAGTGTTGATGTTCGTAGCATCCTTCAACCAGTAAATCTGAGGTGTTGGTAGTCCATCAGCTTGGCATTCAAATCTCGCAGTTCTTCCATTCGGGCACACAAAGCTTACAGGTTTTTTACGAAGCGTGGGTGGGACCATTACGTCCACCGTTATATTCTGAAAAGATATAGCATACATGTATACATTGATATTTTTACATATCCATATATGTGTGTGTATGAAATAACCGGTCAATATATTTTAAGATAGACATTATGGTTTCATTTTTAGTACCTGAATTTGTGGGGCGTCATTGACGGAATTTTTAGCAGCACATAGATAAATACCGGCGTCTGCGACGCCTACGGATTTCAACGACAGGATACCAATGCCGCCTGTTAAATTAAGCAACACCCGTGGCTGTTCGAAGTTAGTGCCATCTTGGGAAAAGTATTTTTTATTTGAAATTATTATCGCATATAAGATTTTTATAAGTTATACATGCCATTTATGGAAGAGTGTATGCGCGTACCTGGATATCGTGGAATAAATGTCCAGGTTATGACTGGTGGTGGATAACCTGAAGCCGCACAAGCCAAATGAAGATTCGATCCGTTGATTAACCAATGATTGTATCGAATTTGTGGATATAATGACGTAGGCATGCGTGACTTTGCTTTGTCGGATTCGGAAGTGACTGTCAATCTTGCCTCTTTGCTTTTTTTTGTTTTCTTCAGAAAATCATTAGTCGCCACGCATCTATAATAATAAAGAAGCTCATATCATTTTTCTTCGGAAATGAAAAAAAATGTTCATAGCTCATGATGCAAAATAAAAATGATTATTCATAGAGATAAACAAATTAATTACCTGTATGAACCTGCATCTGACGGTTTCGTTGCACTTATGTATAGAACACCTGGTGGCACCACAGAATATCTGTAAGTAAAAAATCGTTAAATGAATAAATGTTTTTATGAAAATGGAAAACCAATGTTTTCCTATTGAGAATTGTTTCTCTCTTTGATATGTTTATTTTCCTACTTTGTGTTATTGTGCTCGGGCACTACAGTATCTCCATTATGTTGCCATGTTATGTTAGGTGGAAAAGGAACACTGTCGATGAGACAAGAGAACCGTGCAACTTCACCCTCTTGCATTATTAAATCTCCTGGTGACTCTTTGAATACATGGGAGAGTTCTGTAAAAAAAGAAAATGTTAAATTGAATAATTTGAATGAAAATATCAAATAAATCAGATACAATAGCTTATAACTTACCAGCAATCTGTACATAAGTTGGACCTGATCTTAACGAACCACCAAATTTAGTGCGAGCTACACAACGATACTCATTCCTCCCTTGAGTCTTGTTAGTTGACGTATTATTAAGATTCCATCCTCTGTGTCTCTGAGGCATTTGCAAATTTTGTTTCTGCACAATAAATACCATTAAAACATTTGGTTCATAAATGCTGATTACTAATGTAATATAGCAAGATTATATATAGTTTAGACTTTTATTATTACTTTGAAGGTTTTACTTTATTTGTAAGTTAGACTGCATGTTATTATATACCTTATAAAAGTGAAGAGAGCCATTAGGCAGTAGTGTACACCGTGCAATACCACACGGTGGTGCTGGTGCTCCATTGTAAAGCCAAGACACATTATAATTTGCCCCTGTCACACAATTGAGTGTAATACCTCTCCTACCTAACACCACATGTCCACTGGGTTCTATCTCCAGTTTAGCTGCTGAAACGTTCTGATCCGCGTCTAAGCCTTCTGGCTTAGACCCATTCTTTCCATTAACTCCACTACCAATTCCTCTGACTCCTATGACAAAATTATTTAAATAAGAATTACATTCCATTCATCGAAGATAATATAACAATAAAGCAGTAATTTAATCAATACATTCATCCATGCAAATAATTGTGCATTTTCTTTGTAGGTTGAGCGGTTGTTTTGTAATTTTCTGCCTCAATTATTCATTAATAATGTTAATTATAATTCATATTTTGACATTACGTGAAACTGATATCACGTGATAGTAAAGTAAAACAAAGTCTGTAACATCTCATGCGGCGAACATGCTGCTTAATTTGTGTAAAGAATTGGAAAAAAAGACGCATAAAAGAACATTTTTATTTGTCCCCTACATGATTATGCGTTGTATTAGGTTCACCAATGAACACGCTAGGAGATATACTTGATAAGAAAAAAGTTACAACACATTATCAATCATACATTCTTAGAAATCCGAAGAGTTTCTGCGTAGTCGCAATCTCGTGGTCCTGCATCAACGTGCTGTTTACAAATCAATATCGCGCCAAGAGTTTGCAAGTTCTTGTTAAAGAATAAAATTAAAAAAAAAAGCGAATGCGAAGTTTATTGAGAAAAAGGCGGGCATGTGACGTGTAGAGACAGGCAAAGCATGCAAGTAGTTAGGTATTTAGGCAGTCAGCCAAGAAAGCACGCACGCATTGGTACGCACTAAAGTATCTTCTATGGTGACATGCAAGTGCGATTGTACGTTAATAAAATATAAATATAAAGAAACTAACAATAATGAAACTAACGCACCTGCAACACACACGGGCTTTAGCACTTCCGTAAACAAGATGCTGAGCAAAAGTACTCGCGCCGCCATATATATTCACGTTCATTGGCACAACGATTTCACTGACGAATTAGGGGTGAGACGCGAGGCGGCATTCTTACGCCAATCCGCGATATTATTTGCCGCATTTTTGACATCACCTACACGCGCTACGCGAGTCGTCGCCCAGTTCTGCTGCCTCTGTCTGTTCGGCCTGTTCTTTCGTTCTTTCTGCTCGCCGTGCTTAGCTTGCCCCCCCCCTCCTTATCTATCCTGTCTCACATTCTCGCATTAATACGGCACGCACCGCTCGGAACTCTTCCTGCTTCTCGGTTCTCTTGTGCAACACCGGAAAAGCGCCGCCAGATTCGCGAAATAGAAGATAAGATTCACACGGTTTGGTCTCAGCGGCGTGCGAATTGCGCATCCCTTGCCGCCATCTTTATTATCTCCCACCAGCTCTGACATCAACAAGAGTTACTACACCTGCCACCAGAGGGACTCCGAATATTCGAATTCCGCATACAGCGTAACCCCGTGAAGGATTTTGAAATTAATACGGCCCGGAACTATGTTTTGTGGTAAATCACAAGGCTTTGAACAGAGGTTTTCACCTTCTGATCCTTCACCCTCCTTTAGAAGCTTGCTTCCGTATATTGGCGGCGAATATGAGATAAGTCAAGCTAAACTGTCGCTTATCCGTGAAGATGTAAGAGCGTTTCGTCCTACTGGAAAGGATTTCAGGAAAGATATAATTATGAGACTCGCCATACAGCGCACTGCACGTAAATTTATATTTAAAGAACCAGTGAAGATGATCACCTCAATGATTTATTTAAACAAGATCTACCCATGTGGAACTCATCACCTGTACTTCCACGGTCACAAGAAGGCTACAAGACCAAAGGGATGATTAAAGACGACGACGACGCCATCAAACGTGTTAGATGGTTCTGGCATAATGTGAAATGTGGCGTCTCAGTCTTCCCTTCAGACTGTTATGCTTTTGCGCCTGCATAACTTGTAAAGGAAGGAGACGTTAAAGCAAGAGCTTTATGGGGATATCCCGCCATAATGGTGTTTGGAGAAACAGTCTTTGCTTTGCCATTCATCAAAGCATACATGAAAGGCAACTATCCCATAGCTTATGGCTGTGAGACTGGAATTGAAGGCTTCATGCGCCTGACTCATACAATGAAAGGGCATTACCTTAGAATTGTTTTTAAATCCTTTGATAAAACTGTATTGGAATGGATTATCCGTATTGCCTTTGACATCCTATTTTTGAATATAGACTTTCGGAACTACTAAGAGTGGGATGTTGCACATATTGATTTCATGATAAAAATGTGGGAATTTATCGACGACTACTTTATCAATACACGAATATATCTTTGGAATGGAGAACATTATCGCAAGAGAGGAGGAATAACAAGAGGAAGCTATTTTATCCAACTCATTAGCAGCATCGTCAACTATATGTTGATGCAATATGCCTCCATTAAAGCTAAGAATCTAATGAATATCATCAAGGTGTTTGGTGATGAATCTATTTGTGAATTTACACATCCATTCTATCCCAGTGATGTTGCTAATGTTTTAGAGCCTCTTGGTATTTTGATTAATGCTAATAAGTCTTCTTCTTCATACCTTTCTGACATAATCTTTCTTGGATTTAAACCTGGAAGTCACTTTCCAAGAAAAGAACAAGCAAAGGTCGTTGCAGGCCTAGTCTGTCCGGAAAATCCAGACCTAAAGTAGAACCACATAGCATAGAAAGCTCTAGAAATACTCCATGCTAATTTAGGAGTTGATGAAGTGGTTGATCTTTGGTGTAGAAAGATAGTCAACTTTAGACCTTTTGATCTTGTACTATCTCAGAAACAATTAAAGTTTATACGTATCATTAAAGAGTCGAATAGGTAAAAGCGGAAATTCTATTACAATGGCTTAGTTTCCACCGTGCAGGGTTGAAACAGAGTTAACCAATCAAGTCATAGATATAGAAAAGACATAGATGTGGCATAACCCTGCGGGTGGAAGCCGTCCTGGGAGGGGTGCCGAGGTACACTGAGCCTACTTGTGATTGGTTACTATTGAAAGCAAGCGCAGTGATGTAAAAGTGCTATGTAAGCTTCGTCACGGGTCTATCGTTCCAAGAGAACCAATCATGTTAAGGCATGGTAAGGGAGGGATCAGCTTGAATTTGATTGGTTATGCAGCGAACTCCGCCCCCCCTCATTTTGCCACACGGCCCTTGCCTAAAATATCAGTTTATGCTACATCTATGTCTTTTCTATAGCAATGAATTAAGTTAGCTTATTCCGTTCAAATCTCGTTTTTAATTGGTGAAGGGCCGGTTCCACAAACATGGTTTATCGTTTAAACTTCTTTTATCTTCAAAATACAAATTTCTGATTGGCTCATAGTGGAGATAAACCGAGTTTAAACAATAAACCGTGTTTGTGGAACCGTCTCTAACTCTATTTCAACCCTGCACGGTGGAAACTAAGCCATAGGCTTCGATGGTAAGAAAGATACGATGACTTCCAAGAAGCTTTTCTACATAGAATATTGAAAATCGATTGGCACCTATAGTATTGCTTATGTTTACAGTTCACGGTGGGTTTTTAAATGTACTTTATTCAATTGATAGTTTCTGTGTTTCGAATAATACGAATCCTAGAATAAGAAATGGCACAGCAAGATACTGATATAGATTGCGACAAAATGAATGAGCAATTAAAAAGTAAAAGTATCGATCTGGATACTTACAGAAATTTGGTTAAGTCGTATTTGGATTTAGTAAGTTGACTAAACGTTGGTGTTTGACAGTTTCATATTTCTTAAATCTTTGTTGTTATGATGAAAACCTTATTGCTTCTTACAGCATCTTTACAGTGCTGCTCTTTTCTGGGCTGACAAGGTCTTATCTTTAAGCAACGGAGATCCAAAAGATGTGTGTTCATTGGCACAATGTATGTTTCTCATGAAACAATATCATCGAGCTGCACACCTCATTAGGAGTCATGGACTCGAAAAAGTATTATTTCTTCTGCATGCCCTTATTGTTATTTATACCTTGTTAATTAGTATTATTATTTTTTTTGCCAAGATTAATATTGGAACATAATACCTCACAGAGCATCATTCCAATGTTCAAGTTATAACCAATCATTCGTTAATAACCAATCTTTGAGCTATTTATTTTGTCACTTCTACAGTGTTTCATTAAAAAAAAAATATTTTTGAATATCAAATCCTTAAATATTATTTCTTTACATAGACAGATGTTATGTGCCATTATTTGGCAGTTCGGTGCTTGCTTGAAGCAAAAGAATTTACTGAGGCCCTTCAAATCATCAACGAGACTGAAATGTGTACAAATATTTCACAATCTGGAGTCAGTTATAGTGATCATGCTGATATTCTACAAGATGCTCCAAAAAATGTATGTGTATTCTATTTTGATACTAATGCTATGCAATATTTATATTAAATTTTATCTGTATTAAAGTTATAAGAGTCTGCTTAGTTACATGTCATATTTATTTTTCACTAGGTACAGAGTTCAATATTGTATGTAAAAGGAAGAGTGTATGAAGCAATGGACAACAGAGCAGTATCATCAAATTGTTACAAACAGGCCTTACGCTGTGATGTCCATTCATATCAAGCTTTTGAGGCACTTGTACAGAATCAAATGCTTTCTGCAGCTGAAGGTAAGGCATTCTCTTTCAGTTTTTTTTTAAAACAAATGAAAATACTTTTGAAAAAAATATCAAATCTATGTAAAACGTACCAGAGAAGGAACTTCTTGATTCCCTTCCTATCAGTGAACAATGTACAGAAGCGGAAGGCGAATTACTACGTCTATTGTATGAAAGCAAACTGAAAAAGTACCAAGTTCCGACAAAAAAACAACCATTTGCTTCATGCAGTATAAAGGGTATTCTCGTTACGGATCGTCTCCTAGATAATCTAGACATGCAAGTCTCGAAGGCTGAAAGGCTATACTATAATTGTGATTATCACAAATGCTTCTCGCTTACGGAAAGGTAAATCTATTGATAAGATACAATTTTGTAAGCTACATTTTGTATCGATTAAATCGTTTTTGCTTTGTCGTCAAGATGATTGTAATTATCCTTTTTTTTATAGAATACTTAAGAAGGATCCATACCATAATTCTTGTTTACCTGTACATATTGCTTGTTTAGTGGAATTGAAAAAAACTAACGGTAACGTTAAATTTTTGTTGGGACTTAAAATACAGGGGAATCATGGAAAGTGTTTATTTATAATATTGTATTTTTTTTGCAGCGCTATTTTACTTAGCACATAAACTGGTAGACTTGTATCCTGACATGGCGCTTGCTTGGTTTGCTGTTGGTTGCTACTACTATGCTATAGGTAAAATACATACATACATGATTACGACGATGATACAAAAACCTAATTACAAATAGAATTCTAACTAAAATTTACATACTAAAAGGTAGAAGTGATCCGGCAAGAAGATATCTGGCGAAAGCAACAGCACTGGACAGATTATTCGGTCCAGCGTGGCTGGCGTACGGCCATTCGTTTGCAGTAGAAAACGAACATGATCAGGCAATGGCAGCATATTTTAAAGCTTCTCAATTAATGAAGGGCTGTCATCTACCATTGCTCTATATAGGTTTAGAATGTGGCCTAACAAACAATCTGAAACTGGCCGACAAGTTCTTCCAACAAGCACAAAGTATAGCTCCAGATGACCCATTTGTTATACACGAGATGGCCGTTATATCTTTTTACAATATGGAGTGAGTTAGATTACATATATAATAAAAAATGTAGCGTATGTTCATGATAAATATTGATAATTGCACGTAGATACAAAACCGCCGAAAAGCAGTTCAAAGAAGCTATGAAAAGAGTCCAGGGCGACCCAAAAGATGTTGTACTTCCAAGTAAATGGGAGGCACTGCTCAATAATTTGGGACACACTTGTAGAAAAATGAAAAAATACGAAGAGGCTTTAGATTATCATCAACAGGTATAAATATATGTACATAATACGTAATTACTTTACCCGTTAATGTATTATTTTTGCTTCCCTTTTATTGGAATACGTTATTACAGGCCATCGTACTAAATCCACTGAATCCATCGACGTATTCAGCAATTGGTTTCATTTATGCGCTGATGGGCAATACCCAGGAAGCCGTAGACGCGTTTCACAGGGCATTAGGACTTCAAAGAGACGACACGTTTACTACAACCATGTTGGGATACGTTATGGAACAACTTATAGACGAAGTACCTCCTTATCCAGGTATACATATATTATCAATCGTATAATTATATATAAGTAAAATACAATTCACTTCATTATGTAAGAGTGTGTGTGTGTATATATATATATATTACATTGTATTTAGAATTTTTTTATTTTTTTTCTCAGGTGCCCCAGATAAAAGTCCGGAATACAAGTTTCCGGAAACCAGAGTAGTACCGGAATCTACGTCAGCATTAGAGAATCCTGTAGCAGCTGCAACAGGCCTGCAAGATCAAAGTATTGATAAATTAAGAGTAAATTTATTTTCTGGATGGGGCGAAGATTCTGGAAAAAGTGAGGAAAACACATCCAGCAAAATGGAACGTAGTAATCGGGATCACGTAGTTGTCAATTATTCGACAAATGATATGAGTTCCGAAGTCGAGATGTTAGATTCGTCTACAGCACACATTGAATATAATTAAATTAATTATAATGGCATGATTGTTGGGATTTTACTGATTTATTTAATAATTAGCATTCCTTCTCCATCCAGCATATGCAATGAAACTTCTCATGAACATCTTTACATTTGTGATAAATATTGGAAAAATGATTTTTTGTAAATAGGGTGTTTGATTAAGGCAACTTTATTACCGCTTTATAAATTATTAAAGATACTTCTTTAATTGAATTTGAAAATATTACTTTCTACAATGTATTTAATAATTTTCTACCCAGAATGATATATTTTTGAAACAAAATTCTTTAACCATTACAGACTTGTACGGAAAATGCGTTCTGTTAATGTAATGCCATCATGGGACATAAATTAAGAAATGTTTTTTATCATTTTTACAATGAATTAATTAAACATTCATGTTGAAGTATACGAATGATTCTATTGAATTATTCAATTGAATTCAGTTGTATTCAACTGCGTGCTTGATTTGAATTCAGTAGGATCATCGGATTCCACGAGGGGGCGTACTTTGTCGCATTCGCGCCGGTGTTCGAAATCTCCAGTCCTGGTTCGCGAATCCGTTCGGTCCAGACGGAAGATATTCACTTCAGTTTGCAGAGCGAAGCAACGTGGAGAAGAATGGGCGTTCCGTCTCCATCGTTGCTGCTGCGTAGAGATTCTTAAACGACGAAACGCGTTCATACAGTCGTATTGCGAGAATAATAGCAAGTGTAGTCAGAAAGCTACAACATATACCGAACGAACGCACGTTTTGCAAATTAACTAATAAATGTGTCCCCGTGAACGTGTTTGCTGAAATCGAGATCATCCCGGCGTGAGGACGATCCACGTTTAATATTGATTTTAATGTGACACATTTTCGTTAATTTATTAATTTATTCAATTCTATATATTAATTTTTCATTCAATTAACGTCCATTTTCACGCCTCTCTATACGACAGCCAAATCGTCCTTTGTTTCTGTAACGAAAACGTCGTAAGAAGATCATTCGTCGAAAAATCGTGTTCAGTTTTCTCACGAACTTCGTGCTAGAAGATTCGTGTTAACTGTACGGTTTTTTGTAATTCCTTCGTGAATTGCTTGATAATCGTCGTGCATAATCGCGAAAAATCAGACAAACCACACGTCGATATGCCTACTCTGCTGCAACAGGTATGACGACTATATTAATTTTCATGATATAAAATTAAGAGAAAAAATTTTATTATATAATTTATAGTTTTATGAAAATAGTATTTTTTTCCATCTCTTTTGCTTTTTTCCATCTTTGTGGCTACTCTATTTCCTCTGATGAATCTGCCGTTCTCGTTTGATACGAGTAGGTATACACGTAGATACGTGAAAGCCGGAAATTACTCGCCGGCAATATCGTTTGTATTTCTGTTTCTGTTGTGTTGTGTCGTTGGTGACCTTCCGAAAGGGACAATTTCATTGGATACGAAAAACAAATGAGCCAGTTGAAAATTTTATCGAACTATTTACTATAGAATTCAATGGCTATAGTTTAATATTTTAACATTTTAATTTTAAAGCCAAACAATAATCTTTTTGTAACGACAGAAATCAATAAAATGTCCTTTTCCATTAGTTAACATAATAATAGGAAACAAATTGAGAAAATGTTATACTATTGGATATCACGTATCTGCTTTATCCACGTGGAAAACACGTTGCACTAACCAGCATGCGTTCGCGTCTTGACGTCGCCGTGTACGGCGCCGCAACGCCACCTTTAATCGTCTCCTCCACCCTTTAGTATTGCGTATAATGACCGCATGATTCAATAATATATGAAAATGTCAATTCTTATTTCTTTCAATTTAATTTATATATAAAAATTAATAAGAAAAGACAAAGTTCGTAATAATTTTTACATTTCTTTCATTCAAACATTTAGTAGTAAAATTTTTTACTCGGTTGGTTGGCAATGGTGTGAATTAAATTTTGTCTACGAGAAAGGAAAACTATGGACAAAGATATATTCAAAATATGACTGTTTTCACGATACAAATTCAATACAAAAATATTTTGTATTTACCCGATTGAAAAGAAAAGCAAGGAAACACTAATACATTGTGAATGCGAATGTGTATATGTGCTGCTGAGCCGCTCGTAAGGGCGCATTAATACGTTGGTGTATTATTTTTCAAATAACCGACTATATTGTCAATAGTTCGGAGAAATATTACAGAGCCTTACAAAGTTTGAAGAAAAATTTGAAATATCGAACTTGAACGCGTTGAATTTCCAAGAAGTTTTCGAAATACAAAATCAGATTCTCAGAGTATGACTGTGTACGTATGTTTTTCAAAATGACTTCTTATCCATTAGCAATGGTCGAACAATTTTTTTTCTTCAAATTCCTAGAAATTCTTGCCTAGTCGCATTTACGTCCTTCGTGTTCTGTTTTCGTCTCTCATACTACTCTTTCCATGCTTTATCTCTTTGTCTCTCGTTCCCTTTCTGTAATAGGTTCTCTTCTTCCTTCTTTGTAGTTCTTCTTTTCGAATAGACTGCTGCTAATTTCCATAATAATTTTGAAGCTTCGAGAAGAACAGTCGAAACAACGTCAATAATACCTGGGTGAGCTTTTGAAATTATCGACCAATCCTTTTGACCTTTTGACACTTAGTGATTTCTTTCTCACTTCCTTGCAGTCTTCTCTTAGTAATCCTCCTCTGCTTTACCTATTCTCGTATCACTCTACTTCGATATCTATTTTTTCGATTCCATTCGTTGACTGCTTCCTCTCTGGACCTGATTCTTTTTGCTGGTCACGGCAGCTAGACGCTCCGTCCTTACTGGCATATGTTATTGGCATTCATCCGACATCAGACATCGACAAATTGAGAGGCAATGAAAACGATAGTGCACCTTGGGCGATAGACGACTTTTAAAAATTAATGTTAATATTTAATTTGATTAGATACATTCTCGGATAAATCGGTAAAACAAATAGTAAAAAAAAAAATATACAAGTGTCAGATTTATAATAGTGTTAAATAAAATTCCCTTTTTTGTTTTGCAGTTAGCAATGTCTTACGATGCTGAAGGAAACACTAAAGACACGCTAGATCGCAACGAAACCATTAATATGCAACCAAAGCAACAACCGCGTGAGCGGGATCCCCTGCAGTTGCAGCATCGTGATCTAGACCAGCTGCAGCTACGACAACGAGACAGAGAGCAAATGCAACAACAGCATCGAGAGCGCGAACAGCAACAGAGGGAACGTGAGAAGCTGCAGCTTCAACAGCGTGAACAACTGCAGATTCATCAGCGCGGGCAGCAGCAGCTGCAACACAGGGAGCAGTTACGTGAACAGGAACGCGAACGCGAGCAGCTTCATCAATTGCAAACAATTAATAATCTTTTGCTGGACCTTACACCAGCGTCTTCGACTTCGTTTCTTCAGGGCCAATCGCGTGACACTTCCGGTGCAGCGAACTTGAATTCTGGAGTTGACGGTAAGATATTTGCATTGACTATTTTAGATAGCAATTGTTAAAAATTCATTGGAGATCACTTATAGAAATTTCTACACTCTTCTTTTTAATTTCAAACTTATAATGGTGGAGTGAGACAGTTGAAACCAATCGTTATTGGTATTGAGAATTTTTTGTCCTTTGTCTTTTACTTTTAACAATGTCATGCCACATCAAATGAATGATTTGAATGGCGTTCGGTCGAAGCCTTTAGAAATCAATCGCTAGTCAGTTGTTTGTGTTGTTCCGGAAATCAATGGTTGACATAAGTGAATGCAATCAGAATGAAAGAACATAATCGTGAATTCTTTTTGGCAGGAGATATGTCGATTTCCGATTTATTCGGATTAGGATTACCTCGCGGTTCTCTGATGAGTGAACAATTATCAAGCGGCTCGTCGAGCTTTCGTCATCATCAATATCGTCCCCAGCGACACAATCAATCATTGAGTCATCAGCATTATCAGGTTAGTCTATTTTTCCCCTTCTCTATTCAATAAAACGTGTTTCTAGGTGAGCGTCGAAGATGTCACATTTATCTTTTCTGCCTACGTAAAACATTTTAAGGGAAAAAAATGTGCATTGCATCAGACAGTATAGCGATGAAATGGCGCCCAGCTGAAACATTATTCGAGACTGTTCCTACCAATTTTTGGCAGCTGGTAAATATTGGGTACGCGACTGCTGGCGATAAAAATGTCAAACGTGAAATAGGCAGTATTGTGTGTGTGCCTGAGACGTCTGGTCTCTGCCAATGCAATAACCGGAACAATGATCATCCCCATTGGATGAAATCCAACTGCAACCGCTGCGAACTTCAACCGATCTGAAGCCAGTTGATTTTTTAATTTACACCCAAAGTGCACTCACATCATTTGCAGAGGGCACTTTCGTTTAATTGAAATTAGTCCAAACAAGTTTAACGGCGTGAAACTTGAAAAGTTTGTGTTGAATTTTTAACGATCACCTTGCTTCTTTTCTCAACAGCGTTTTAAATCACCTCATGACAACTTGTCAAACTAAAGACTACAGTTAACACTTTGCTAAGAGCATATAGAACGAGTTTACGTCCTGCTGATGGAGCTGCTCCAACTTGCAAGTTCTTTATTGCAAGAGTTTCTTTAAGGTACTGGAGAATTATTCGGTCCGTGAATAGTTGGACTACTGGTCTTTGTAAGAGTTTCCGCATTAATCATATTAACCACAAAGAAGTCCATCTTCGGATTTGCATGATCTGATAGAATTATGAAGCATGTTCTTGTCTGATAAGAAAGTGTTTTCTATATATTATACAATATATATATACAGATGTCGTGTGCTATTCTCTCCAAGCTTTGTCAAAGCATACTAGCAACACACTGCGTCCTTTTATTATTATTGTCTGGTTAGAACAGTCTTTGTAGTCTATTACTACATGGCTAGAGATCCTATAGGATCTCTATAATGATCGTACATATTAAATGCATTGTTTATCCGTAATAGTGACAGGGCAAGTAGAAAGTGCCGCTCTAGCAAGGACATAGTTCACTTAAAGTGCACTTAAAGCGCCCGTATTAGGCAGAGCGACACAATGATGGTGCATAAAATAAATAACGCATGGCGAGCGCGTTAAAGCGACCCCGTTTCAAACGGAGCCAAGAATTTGCCAGCTTGAGCCAAACGGCTCTATCATATCCGCCCCCCTTCGACCCCTTATAACTTGAAGGCCTGGCCCTGCTGTGGCGACTAGAGGCTAGGAGCTCTCGCTCGGTTGATGGTTCAGACTCTCAGTACTCCTGATGATATTCCAAAACTAAATTTAATAATTGACAAGAGACTGACTTTGTCGTTCATTGATTTATTGATAATGAAAAATAATTCGAGGATTCTAGGATATCTCTTTTAAAGATTAAATACACGTTAAGGAAGCTTCTTTCGTACGGACTAAGTTCATCGTTCCTGGTACGCGAGGATATCGTCTTGGCACGTTTCCAGCAGCATCCACTGCTCTAACAAGGGACACGAAAGAAGCAGGATTTCCTTGGCGATGGCTCACCAGGACTATTCGATGTCTTCAACGAATTTTAGTCAGAGTGGTGATTTATTTACTATTTTTTTTGACAGTGCGACGATAGTCATGGCTACTATGGGTCAACAAATCTGGATATGCCAGGCTCACCGAATTCATTGGCTACTCCAGGCACACCGAGCACTCCAGGAAGTGTGTACTCCAATCCCTACACATATGACGCTGGAGCAGGAAGCAATGCACACACATCTTCTCCGAACAATCGTTCCTATTTGCAACACCTGGGAGGCTCACCCTCCTCGCCAATCCACTCACAGTATTATGGAAGGCCTATTCGTGGTTCGCCACCATACAGGTATTACATAGACTTAAACATTTGTTCTACGATATTGTCCGGTGGATCAGGTGCATGTAAAATGGAATTCATGATACTATCTTAAACTTTATGCTATGTCAGTGATAGAAAATTATTTATTTTACAGTGACTGTGGTAGCCCTACAATGGAATACGCCAATCGTTCGCTAGGATGTGGTGGCTCACGTTCGAATTCCCCAGCTGATTCAGAGATCAGTGGAGTCAGCAGCATGGACAGTTCGCTATCTGATATTATGGTGAATAATCCAATAAATAAATACACAGAGTAATATGGGACAATAGAATGTGGAATAGTATATAGGACCTAGAGAACTATATGATATGATATACAATAAGTGATCCAGAACTTTAAAGACTAAACATTAAATTGGAATAACACTTGATAATCTTGATGTTTATTAATAATCGATAATTCCTAGAATTCTCTGTCGCTGGGTTCTACAACGCATTCATGCTACTCCCCTTCATTGGGATCACTTGTCTCGACGGACATGGACATGTGCAATGGAAGCAGAGCTGCTGCGTATCAACGACTGGCTGCCAAGAAGTACCTATCTTCTCCATCGCAGTATCATCAGCACCAACCCTCATCGAATTGTTGGCCAACTGGAAATCCACGGTTCATGTCATGCGCCTCGAATTCATTTCCACCTGAATCGCCTATCTCGCTCGATCGAGCTGCACGTTTTCATCGGAATGCCGCTGGTACAATTTCTTTTCCTTTTTATAAACTTTTTCCTGATTGACATTAACTTTATATTGCGATATACATTGTTGTTTATTTGTTAATGATATACGTAGCTGTCTGCAATCCCACCTGCACCTGGAGTGGCGTTTTACCTAATCGCACTCAGAAACCTTCGGGATACTCTTCCAAGGTGTTCCTCGGTGGAGTCCCCTGGGATATCACCGAATCTATGTTGGTTGCAACATTCAAACAATTTGGTCAGATACGCGTGGAGTGGCCTGGTAAAGATCAATCAGCTTCGCAACCGAAAGGATACGTGTACATTATATTCGAATCCGAAAAACAGGTTCGTTCGCTATTGCTCGTTTTTGGAATATTTCGAATGAAAACATTTTTTTTTATTATAGGTGAAGGCATTACTCGCTTCTTGCACTCATGACTTTACTAATGGCGGCAGCTGGTATTACAAGATCTCTTCGAAACGAATGAAGGGCAAGGAAGTGCGTACACGCATTTGTGTGAATCTGTTGAATACATAAACAGATGTGATTTTTTTTAAGGTCCAAGTGATTCCGTGGATACTGAGTGACAGTAACTACGTCAAATCTTCATCGCAAAAATTGGATCCACACAAGACTGTATTTGTAGGGGCCCTTCATGGTATGTTGACAGCTCAGGGACTGGCTAAGATCATGAATGATCTTTTCAAAGGCGTCATTTATGCCGGTGAGTGTTTGCCATTATCTGGAATTTCCTAATGGCACATCATTCTCGTAACACTTTGTCTTCGTTTCAGGAATTGACACTGATAAATACAAGTATCCTATTGGTTCGGGGCGTGTGACATTTAGCGACAGCCTCTCCTACATGGACGCCGTGTCAGCTGCGTTCATTGAAATCAAGACCGTGAAATTCACAAAAAAAGTTAGCATTCATTCTAGGTGATATCAAATATAAATTTCTTTACTCGATTTTTGTCCCATTTTTACAGGTTCAAGTCGATCCTTATATAGAGGATTCCGTGTGCTCCATATGTTCTGTGCAGCAGGGTCCTTATTTCTGCCGTGAACCGGTAAGTGATTATCTATAGGGCGATGGACTTTCAAACAATATTTTAACGTTGCTGACTTTCCATTATTTGCAGTTGTGCTTCAGATACTTCTGTCGTAGCTGCTGGCAGTGGCAGCACGCGGTAGAGCCAATGCGTCGACACAACCCACTGTCACGTAATTCCAAAACTAACCGGGTAGTTGGATTGACATCCAGCGTCGGTGTGAATGGCGGCGGTGACGATATGAAACCTACGTTCTTCAGCAACATCATGATTTAATTGGTGCGCTCGTGAGCGCACGACGCAGTCAAAATCTAAGTCGATGCAAGCGCGACATTAACTCCGCGTTCGGTTGAATTATTTTTCTTTTTTTTTTTTTTTT